ACTCGGACATTGCAAATTCTACGAAGATGGCGGAAAAAAGCTTAATTATGAAATAGGCTTTTGCTTGAAATATCACAGATTTAGAAGCATACACAAAAATTTACAGAACATCAAAAATTATTGAAATTTCAAAAAAAAATTTCAGGAGTGGGTTTGTTGATTATAGTAATTCTGGTAGCGTTTGATATGGTGATGTGCTGGTATTCGTTTCCGGAACTTGTTTTTCCACTGTATATTTTTCCAATGCTAATTGCCGGATGTTCGACGCATGCCACAATTGCTCATCTGCACAAGGTAATTGCTTGTTTGGGAGGAATAGTTCCAGCTTTTCCTGATCAGATAATTAGAAAAGTGTTAGTTTTCCTAGAATTTATCAGGCGAAAAGAAGCATTAGAGTGTTTTTGGCTTTTGTCATATTCATGCGTAGTGCTTTTTTTTCTGGAACTTACAGTGATTTTTTTCAGCTATTTTTTGGTGCCGTTCCATCTTTTTTTAAGAACAAAAAAGCAGAGACTAAATTAGAATGAAATGGAAGCATTTGCCTCAGAGTAATGCGCAGGAGACTTATTCAGTTTATTAAATCAGTTGAGAGATAACAGCTGTTGAAAGAAAGATTTTTTTTTACTTAATGGACCGAAATGTCTTATCTCACTCTTACCTTCTTTTCTCATACTGTTCTTTCTTGCTATAATCTATCGCGACTTTGCCATTTTGGCGTCCAGGGCTAGCATAATTGCTAAAATCAGCTTATTATTACGGGGGAAAAAAGACGAGGAATAGCTCTTTGGATGTAAAAATAAGGCTTTGTCGAGTATCATTCACTTGGACAGACCGGATGTCTTTGATAGTTTAGGAATTTTTTTGTTTGTCTCAAAAGTTTGCCAAATTGGAGGCCCATATTTGTTGCTTGTAAGAAACAAAGGCATTCGGAAATAGCTCGAAATAGTAGCGAGTATCAGCAGCAGCTACCACCGGCTGGTAAAGCTATCGATGGCGCTCTCTTTCAAAAATTGCTTAGAAGCAAGCTGATGGCAATTTTGACTCTGTAGATTGCTCACGTAACAGTTTGCTATCGAAACGAATGAACGAGTCGTAGAAGGATTGACCGCCGAATAAAATTATTTAAATTTTAGCCAAAAAGGTATCGCCTGTTAAACTTAACTTTGTCTGAAGGAGTTATTTACCGCGTTTTTCTTAAAAATTCCATCGATTTTGCAGAAGCTTAATGCAGAAATGGTGCATTTTGATGGTGTTTTGCTACTTTTTGCAATTTTACTAGCATATTCTACATATCTGGGTATTGCGAGTGCTTTTTTCTTGCTTATTCACGCATTCTTCCCCTTACTTCGCGATCCACTCATCTATTTGTTGGGAAAAATGGGACTAATTACAAGTAACCTATTTCTTTCTTAAAAAATAAATGTGAAAAATTCTTCATCTGGTTGAAACAGTACAGCTAAAATCATATTGCTTTTAGTGAAAGTGGGATGAAATGGGGCAGGGGGAGGGGGTAGGGGGATACTAGAAATTTTTATCGGTTGAAGGATGTTCAGAGCTCAACATTTTACCAATAACCTGAAAATTGTTTGAATTTGTTGTCGAATTGGAACTTTCCCGTAATTTTTTTAATAAAAAAGGTGAGTTTTCAACCGAAGAATCGTCAGAAAAACCGTCTCTACTCTCGAAAGAAGCCGGAGGAGTGAGGCAGGGGGGGGGGGGGGGGGGGGGGGGGCGGGAAA